CAAATTACTGCATTCGCGAGAACTAAGCCTTTCGATGCCTCAGATCCAGATGTCTTGGAGGCTATTTTTATTTTTATTTTTAATTTTAATAAGAATTTAATTAGAATCATCTCATAATGTAATATTTGACTTAGAGCAATTCCAATAGGAGTTGCTTGTCCCATGAATTAACTCAAGTCCCGGTTTCTTGTCATTGGAAGATTCTGACGTGGCAACATGAGTTGCTTGAAGAAGAGAGAGAGTTGCTTCCTCAAGTAACCATTCCTTACCAGATTTCAAGCAGATCTTATTAAACATATTTGAGAACATTTCGAAAATAATAATGATGAAAATTAATTTCTTATATTGTTTATGTATTTACTATTGTTTTATTTTATTTTTAATATCTACTTATTGTGTATTTTTTCTCGTAATTTATTTTCTTTCATGGTAGTGTAATTATCTTTTTTAATAAAAATTTAAATTTGGTTCATAAATGATTAGAAAAAAAATTATAAAAGTTGAATTTCTTAAAGTTTCTTACCATCGATGTAAATTTGTGATTGAGTTGCTTAATGTTGACATGACACACTAGAGACTACTTTTTTCATTTTTTAATGCATGAAGCAATTCAAATGAGTTACTTGCATTAGAGATGCCCTTAATTTCACTTTTTGCAATTTGTTACCTAACTTCTAAAATTGTACATTTTGTCACCTAATTTTTAAAATTTCACATGTTTTGACACATAGTTAATAGTATAACACTATTATTAATGTAAAATATTGATTATTGACATGTTACATTAATTATTGATGTAACATAGAGATGATAATATGATATAATATATTAAAATGTCATATCACATAACAAAATCAAATAGACAATTAATGAAATAACAAAATGTTTAAAATTTTAAAATTTGAGAAATAAAATGTACAATTTCAAAAATTTGATGACAACATTTACAAATAACAAATAATACAGTTAAGCCTAAATAATTTTTAGGCTATTAAGTATCAAGAATTAACCATTTAATCATAAATTCTCGTATATTGTATCATTGTTGATTTTTTAATAATTACTATAAAAGTTATATTAATAACCTTTTCTATTGAAAGATAGTATAAAAATCTCTATCTATAAAGTCTTTCAATAATCGCATTGGATTTGTAATTGCAATATGAAACCAAAGATGTAGGAGGCAGGGGAAGTTCATACATAAGGGGTCATCTTTGGCCATGGTCCCTCATCAAAAGCCTTTCGAGCTGCAGACACTGCACGATTGATATCTTCTTGGTCACCTTCAGCAACGTTAGCAATCACTTCCCCAGTTCGCGGGTCATATGTAGGAAATGTTTTTCCTAGTGACCAAGAAATTGTTCCTCGTGATGTTTCACAATTTGTCAACAACACAAAGTTACATACATAACACTAGAAGTAGTAAACCACATGAACCTGAGTACCTGACACAGCATCCACAAACTCCCCATTTATTAGATTTTTAGTGTATCTTATTTCCACAGGTGGTGTGACTAGATCATCAATTTCTGCAACGGTGCTTAAGCTGTTTGTGTTTCTCTCCCTTTTAGTGTCTTTTCCTTAAAAAAAAAAAAACAGAAAAATGAATTACATTCAATAGGACCGATCCGCATTACTTTTATTTACATCTCAATTTTCAACTTAACTCAACTCTATAAAATTGAGTTACAACTTATTTATTAGTTCAAGCGAAATCTCTATCAATAACAATTAATACCAATAAAATGCATTAAAAAAACATGCATTTCTCATAAATTTGTATTGTTTGGACTCTGAATATAAGGAATATTATAGTTTAACATTCTGCATAATCACTTAACCTTATATTTTAAAGTCAACCCTTCATTATGCATGCCATTGCCTCAGTGGAAAATGATGTCATAATTACAAAAGGACTCTTAAAGAACAAAATGATAGAAGTATGAGCAATTCAGTGATTCACAGCCATGCAGGATTCTTCAATGGTGAAACCACAGCTTTAACTTGCAGGTAATTGTTGAGACTGTAAATTCCCTTCTCCCTGCCAATGCCACTCATCTTGTACCCTCCAAAAGGAATTGCAGCATCAAAAACATCAAAGCAATTAATCCACACAGTTCCAACCCCAACGGTGCTTAAGCTGTTTGTGTTTCTCTCCCTTTTAGTGTCTTTTCCTTAAAAAAAAAAAAACAGAAAAATGAATTACATTCAATAGGACCGATCCGCATTACTTTTATTTACATCTCAATTTTCAACTTAACTCAACTCTATAAAATTGAGTTACAACTTATTTATTAGTTCAAGCGAAATCTCTATCAATAACAATTAATACCAATAAAATATATATATAAAAGCTACATATAGGTGATATGATGTGTTAAGAAAAGAGGAAAAAAAGAAATAGGAAGTGTTGATGTAGTATTTAAGAATATGAGATTATAAAAATCATTACCCTTTATAAAAAAAGAGTATAATAAAAATCATTAATTCAAAGATTAGACGTTAATATTATAATGAATTCTAAATTATATTATAAAAGTATTTTATTTTTATCATCCTTTCTATAGTACGTAGTTGATTTCGTGCAATTATAAATGGGAGAAGTTATGTCTGAGTTTGTATTATGCTTGTACAAAGCTCAAACATTATATTAAACCTTATGATGTATTCGTATTCTGTCGAAATAATGTGATTAAATATATGTTATCTAAACCTTTCTTGCACTCTCGAGTTGGGAATGGGCTCTTGCATTGATCGAGTATTCGTTAACGTTTGTTCCCCTCAAAGCCACAAAAGGGCAAGTAATCGCTGATTTTCTCGTGGATCACTCGAATTTAACTGAACAGGTTAATTATTTAACCACGAAATCATGGGAACTATTTTTCGATGGATCGAAACACGAGTCAGGAGCAGGAATCGGATTACTGATTATTTCACCGGGTGGGATTCCCACTAAATTCTTATTGAGAACAAAATTCGAATGCTCGAATAATGAAACTGAATACGAAGCATTGATTACTGGGCTAAAATTGCTTAAGGACTTGGGGGCAAGGAACATAATCATTCGAGGTGACTCGCAACTCGTGATTAAACAGTTAACTCGAGAATATAAATGCATGAATGAAAAGTTACTCGAATGTAATTCTCGAGCTACAGCTTTGTTAAACTCATTCGATGAGGTCCAATTAGAACATATTCCTCGTAACGAGAACGAAATTGCGAATGAACTAGCTCAGATTGCATCCGGGTACAAGATAAGCAGGGAATGTCTCGAATCTCTTATTTGTATGAGGAATGAGTTGAGTGACGAACATGAATGCCTCATCATTGACACCTCGACCATTCAGGATTG